GAAGTAGGAATCTTCTTGTGAGTTGGAGAGAGCCCAGCAGGTGTCCGCCCCACATGAGGTCTGTGTTCACCCCTACATGAGGTCTGCACACCTCACAGGAATCACAAAGGCAGTCCTATCACTCTGGAAATTCCAGTGCTTTAGCGGTTCCCTCCCAGGAGCCAGGACAGAGGCTAGGACTCTATTATTGTTAGTTGCCATTGAGTCCTTTCTGCCTCATGGTGACCCCATGTGTGCAGAGTAGAACTGCTCCATAGGGAATTCAAGGCTGTGACCTTTCATAAGCAGATCGCCAGGCCTGTCTGCTGTGACGCCTCTGGGTGGGTTCGAACCGACAACTTTTTGGCTAGTAGTTGAGCATTTAACTGTTTGTGCCACCCAGCTGCCACGGAGCTTTCTTGAGGTGAGATCTAATTCTTTATTACAGGAGTAGAATTTAAATATGTCCATCGTACTAAAATACTGAAAAACATGAACAGAAAATGATAAGCAAAATCCATCCAGAAATTTCGTCCTTTAAAGACAACTGCCCTCAGTTTGGTTAACTATACTGTTGGTGTGTGTGTGCTGTAGGTTTCTATAAAAGACATTTTATCATTTTATGGATTAGTTTTACGTATTTTTCCCATGGCCTTAAAGATTTTTACACTATCATGTTAATAAGGAGCCCTGGTGGTGGGATGGTTAAGAGCTCAGCTGCTAACTGAAAAGTTGTAGGTTTAACCCACCTAGCTGCTCAGTGGGAGAAAGACCTGGCAATTTGGTTCCCTAAAGATTACAGCATAGGAAACCTTATGGGGCAGTTCTATTCTGTCATATGAAGTTGCTAGGAGTCAGAATCGACTTGACTACACTTAACAACAACATCATCGTGTTAAAAGTAGTAAAAAAAAGTAAATATGTGTATGCGTACGTGTGTACCTATGTAATGACCTTTTAACTAATTCTTTGTTGTTGTTCGTTTTTAACTTGTTTCAAGTTTTCTCAATTAGGAAACCCTCAGCCAGTGTCCCTTCAGTGGTGTCTATTTTACTTGTCTCTTTGATTCTTTGGGTTCAGTTCTAGAACTCAAACACTACATTCTGCCATTTATTAAGATGTTTGACCCAAGACAAGTTAGAGTCTGTGACATAGTTTTGTTTCTCTCTCAAGTGAGAACCGATCCTTTCTGTTATGATCACGAGGTTAGATCCTAACCTTTCTTTAAAGCCTCTTATTGACTCTTTGTCATCCATAATGGAATGAATTGTTTCTCTGGTTCATCTGAAAAATTATACGTTGCTTGGTGGAGAACACTTGATATTTATCTCTTGGTTAAAGAAAACCACTTGTTGAATTGTTTTTTTCAATTGTATATTTCTTTTATCATCCACAGAAATATAAAATCCACAGTGTATCTGATATACTCAGTGCTTCTTAAGCAATAACTCCCCATTCTCTTCTCCCCTGAGTCTCTGGTAGCAACTAATAAACTTTAATTTTCTATGATTTAATCATAGATTAAAATTAGGGATATATAACTTGCTGAAAATTATCTTATATGGACGCAGCAATACCCTTACCTTAATCAAAACTGATTCATATACCTCTTGCCTCCCTTCATGTTGTGTGAAATTAAGAACAACCCCCCCCCCCCCCCCCCCACTGCTGCACCGTGGACGGTTGGAGAAATGAGTGTTTCATGTTATCTACCATTGATATACAAGGATTCGTCCCCAGAAGGAGTGGGTGTGCTTGTGTTCTGCTGAGAGGACTTTGTAAAGGGGCATAATGTTGATGAACTACAGGAACCTGGTCTGTCTGGGTGACGTAGAAGTCAGGACCTGCCCTGGGATGGCTTTGCATTTTCCATTGTGAGTCTCTTGAGAGCCCCTGCCTTTCTAGACCGAGTTTCCCTTCCCTTCTTGATGGGAATCATTGAGGCTTTGTTGATCCAGAACTGAAGAGCTTCATAGTGTGGCATCTGGACTTTGACCTTTCTCTTTCTTCAAATGATCTGCCCTGAGTTGATGGTGGTTCCAGAACATGAGTGTGCAGAAAACCTGTGGCCAGCATTTCAAATATCCAGTGTCCTGGTTACTCCCCTATGCTTTTGATTTAGTAGCTCATAGAAGAGTGCTTAGAGGCCTGCACCTTTAAAATGATTCCTAAGCATTTATAAGGAAGAGGGCAGTGGCTCCTTTAAAAAAACAACAAAAATATTGTCGTACAATATAATAAAATTTTGCCATTTTCACCATTTTTAAGTGTACAGTTCAGTGAAAGTAAATACATTAATACTGTGCAACCGTCTCCACCATCTAATTCCAAAACGTTTTCATCATTTCAAACAGAAACTCAGCACCCCTTATGCTATAACTCCCAATTCCTTTCTCCCTGAGTCCCTGGTAGCCACTAACAGACTTTGGCCTCTATGCTTTTGCCTGTTCTACTTATTTCATATAAGTTATATCGTATGATACTTGTCATGTTGTGTCTCACTGATTTCACTTAGCGTACTGTTTTCAGGGTTCATGCTGAAGCATGAACAAAATTTCTCTTTCATGATATGTGGTTTTTTAAATCCATTCATCTGTTGATGGCCACTTGAGTTGTTATCACTTTTTGGCTGTTGTGAATAATGTTGTAATGAACATTGGTATAGAAATATCTTTTTGAATCCCTGCTTTCACATTCTTTGGGTTCAGACTGCCAATTTAGGAGTGGAATGTCTGGGTCATATGGTAATTTAAGTTTTTAAGGAGCTGCCAAACTTTTCCGCAGTGGTTGTGCTATTCTACCTTCTCACCCACAGTGCGTGAGAGTTCCAGTTTCTCTACATCCTCACCAACACTTGTTCTTTCCCACTTTCTGATGTAGCCATCCTAGTGGGTGTGAAGTGGTATCCCAGGTGGTTTTGATTTTCACTTCCCTGGTGCCTAGATGACCCTGAGCGTCTTTTCACATGCTTGTTGGGCGTTTGGTTATCTTCTCTGGAGAAATGTCTATTTAAGTCATTAGCCCATTTTAAATAAATTTTTAAGTAGATTGTCCGGCTTTCTTCCTAGTTGGTCTTAGACTGGAGGCTCCCCTGAAACCTGTTCAGCATCACAGCAACATGCAAGTCCCCACTGACAGACGGTGGTGATTGTGTATGAGGTATATTGGTCTAGAATTGAAGCCGGGTTTTCCATGTGAGCGGCATGAATTCTACCTCTGAACAATCAATGTCCCCATTTTCTGTCATACTGCTACTGCCATGGAGTCGATTCCAAGTCAGAGTGACCCTATATCACAGAGCAGAACTGCCCCATAGGGTTTCCAAGGCTGTAAACCTTTATGGAAGCAAACTGCCACATCTTTCTCCTGCGGAGCAGCTGGTGGGTGGGAACCACTGGTTTTTTGATTAGCAGCCGAGCGCGTTAACCGTTGCGTCTCAGGGCTTCTCCATTATAATAAGGGTGGGTATTTGACACACAACTTAGCAATAACATAGACAAAATTACTAGGTCTCATCCTTTCCCATGTAAACAATGCAAACCTAAGAAGGAGAAAATAGGCTTATTCCTCATCCTTCACTCTTACTCTTTCTCATACAGCAGCCAGCTGCCACAGTGAGAATGTGGGGGTGTGGTGATGGAGGCAGAGTAGGCAGGAAGGAAGAGTCTGGGTCACTGATTACTTCACAAAGCACCTGTCACATCTTGCGCTATAATCTCTGGACTTCTTATTATAGGAGGAGATAAAATGATAAAAGTCATACTTGTTTTGGTTTTCTGGGGTCATTGGGGTGGCATCTATCTTAGATGATAAACCTCGCACAGACTGGAGGCTGGCAAAGGCGAGCAGGGCCTGGCTGGACCACTGAAGCCAGCAGAGGGGTGGGAGCCATGGACAGGGCTGGTGGTCGGGCTGGGACAGGGCATCTGTGATAGAATGTTCCTTCCTTCAGTTACAGGCTCCAGAGCAGTGGGTGTTTGGATGTGGATACCCCAGGGTAAATTGTGAAAACGCAGATTTTTATCTTGGTTTGGGCTTGAGAGTCTCTATATCAAAGAAGTTTCCAGTTTGTGTTGAAAACAGCTATTATAGGAATAGGATGTGAGTTAAAACCAGAGAATGCTGTTAGACAAATTAATAACACAATGGGTAATGCTTAAAGATCAGCTACTGGTATACAGATCATGCGAGAGAGAAGAGAGAGAGAAAACATCATACAGAGACCAAGAAATAAAACAGTAGGTATCAGCTGGGTGGGGTGGAGGGGAGGAAAGAAACGGGAACAGTCGTGGGGGCTGCTCCTTAGAGAAAACTGAAAGATTTTCTGATTTATTGGTTGATCAATTATTGTGAGGTTGAAAGAGAATGTTTCCAGATCTCTGGAAAGACAGGTGGTGTCATAGAGAGCGAAGAAAAGCAAAGAAAAATTAAAAACTCAAGGGGAAGAAATAAATGTTAGTTGCAAAATTGAGAGGAAAAGTACTGATCACGTTACCATGGTATAAAGGAAATCAAAGTTTAAAAAAAACAAAGCTCAGCGGAAGAGTTTTAGCTGCATATGATTAAAAATGACGCACGATGAGTTCATTGACTTGAACTTAATATATTCTCCTGAAAATTCACTAATGTTGGTATCAGATAAAAGTGTTTAGGTTCTACAAAGATCAACTATTAAGCTCATAGGTGAACCTTCAACCTAAGCTTTGGACTCCTGACACTGTGGAGTAAGCCAGGTTCACGTTCCAGCCTGGGCAGGCCTGGATGCCTCCTGTGCTCTAGGATGAGGAAGCCCCTCCTTCTGTGACATTGTGGCCAGAAGAAGAGGCCTGTGGAGCTGCATGAAGAATGCAAGTGTGTGCTCTGGAAGGCTGGAGCAGGATCTGCCTTAAGTGCAAACGCCCTCAGAGTGGAGCATGGCCTTGAGCCTGGGAGGAAGCCCTGTCCAGGGAAAAAGCTGAAGGCCAAGAACCTGTCACTTCCTCTTTACTCACCTCTGTCTCCTTCTTCCATTTTAGGTCCCAGGTGTGGCACAGGGAGAGTTAGTCCAGCCTAGGCAGCTGGGGACTGAGGACAACCTTGCAGATCCCTGCAATCACAAGTAAGGATTTTAACTGCTCTGACTGGTGTGTGGACCACACCTCATCATCTGCCTCCAAACTGCCTAGTGGCTCTGCTTCCCCTGCCATCCGTCTTTCTGAAGTGGCTTCTTGGGCTTAGAGAGTACATTCACTTAGACTTCCAGAAGCCGGATCCAGGAAATGGTGCGTATTACAGAGAACTGGGGTGTTGTTACTCTAAGGGGTGAGGCTGGATATGGGGATCGTATGCTCTGGAACTTGAGGTTCCTCAGTGAGGCAAAAAGGTGGCAGATGAGACCAAGGGACTGAACTATACGAGGCATCTTGAGGCCCCTTTCCGCTGTCACTGGGCCCTTACTCTGCACACAAGTGGATTTTCAAGCATTAGAAGCCTGGGGCCACGGTCCCTCTGTGACCCTAACACATCATAGGGCGTTAACATCCCTGTCCTTGGCCTTGGTTCTCTGTGTTGAATGACAGAACCTCCTGACCAGAGTCTGAAGACGGAGCAGCTCTGGCTGAGGATACCAAGCCCCAGATCCTCCAGAGCCATCCTTGTCCCATCCCTGCACACAGTTTTCTTGGCTTCCCCGAGACACTGGAGCCTTTTCTGTGTAGTTCGATAACTGCAGCTCCCCTGACACACTGTGTGATATGGTGGAAAATGGGGAGAGAGTTGGTAGCGGAAGGCGCTGACTGTTAATGGAGTCCTGTGTGGGGCTTCTCATGATCTCACCAGTGAAATGAGGTAAAGGAGAGTGAATCCAGCTGGATCATGTGTGGGGTCTCCAGATCCATCCTTCTTGGAGGGATGCTCTTTCTTTGAGGCTTTCCGGTGTGTGGGAAGCATGTTTCCCCAGTTTGTGTCTTTGTCCTCCCACCCGTCTCTGCCTAGAGCTGGTAGTGAGTCCCTGTACTTTTCAACAGCTCTCCACAGTTTCGAATGGGAATCTAAAAGAAAAGGGTTCTTTTTTGCTAGACAAGTTCAACATATGAGTTGGTGTATTTAACTTCTTGGGTTTACGGTTTCCATTGGAAGAAAATTTCTAGATCAGTTTGTATTTCTACTGAGAATTTTTCAATTTAATGGATATAAACTTCTCAGACACTAAGAAATGCATATTTTAACTGATGTAAGAGTAAAAATTCAAAAGTAAAACATGTTATTTCTCCTACTTTGTTACACAGAAAGCAGCTTGAAATTTGTACTTGCTTTTTAGTTAACACGTGTTCCTGGAGTTTTTATAACAATACAGAGAGAGCTTAAATCTAATTTCTTGTTAAACTCCGTAATACTATAACAGCTGTTTTTTGTTTATTGTTTTGACCATACCGCCGTGAATGGACACTTGATTGTGTCCAGTATTTTACTTTTACAAAGCTTGCTTTAGTGAATATAAATGTAAATTTTAAGATCCAGGTATCAAACGTTGAGACATAGAAGCCCTTCTCAACTAAGACAAGTTAAATTAAAATGAAGGCGTTTTCAAGTAACTTTGTAAAATTATTATATGAAAATTACATTTCCTGTTTTAAGCCATTACTTTAAGGTTTTATTGTCGAGTGTATCATAAACTAGGAGTGCATGAACTGTTCGTTGTGTAGTTTAATTAATAGGAATCTAAATCCCTGATAATAAATAGACCTTGTCATTTTTATGACCTCCCAATGTGTCCCACGCTCATGTCAGCTATCTCCTGCCTGGAGATTATTGCTATCTGCATTTGAGCAGTTTATTATTATTACAGTTATTATTTCTGTTATTATAGCTTTGCCTCCCAAGTCTTTTTGTTTTTAAATAATGTTTTATTTTTTTTAAATGAAGGTTTACACAGCAATTCAGGTTCCCATTTAACAATTTCCACACAAATTTTTCAGTGACATTGGTTGCATTCTTCACAATTTGTGAACATTCTCAATATTTCTGTTCTGGTTGTTCCCTTTCCATCAGTCTAGTTTCTCTGCCCCCTATACATTCTTATCTTTGCTTTAAAATAATTGCTGACCATTTGGTCTCATATAGCTGATTTTTTTAATGGAGCACAGTACTCACAGGTGATACTCTATTTGGTGAGCCAGTATGTTATGTATCTAAAAGGTGATCTTGGGCTGGTTTCGGTTTAAGGTTGAAGGAATATCTCAGGGCAACATTCTTGGGGAATCATCCAGTCTCAGCCTGTTCAGTAAGTGTGTTTTATTTTTGTTGTTGTTTAGTTGGGGTTTTTTTAGGAATTTGAGATACTTTACCACATTTTTCTCCCATTCTATCGGGGTCCGTCTGTTGTAATGCTGATCAGAATGGTCGGTAGTGGTAGCTAAGTACTATCTCATCTAGTTCTTTTGGTCTCAGGGTAAGGGAGCCTGTGGTTGATGTAGACTGTCCTGTAGACTAATTTCTTCTTTGAGTCTTTGGTTTCCTTCTCTCTCTTTTGCTGTAGAGGAGCAGAGAACAATAGTCGTATCTTAGAAGGTGGCTCACAAGGTTTTAAAACCCCAGACACTTCTCACCAAACTAGGATATAGAACATAAACTTTATGAACTGTATTATGCCAGTTGACCGAGATGTCCCACAACAGTAATCCTAATCCTTCAGACGCGGGAAACTAATCCCTCAGGGTGTTTGGTTACATCTAAGAAGTATCGCTAAATGTGACAGCCAAGTCTTAATCCATAATCTCTATATTGTTTAGGTTTACCTCTTTTGAGCTTTCTGTAAATTCAGTTATGCCTGTGTCTGGGTTATTCCGTGATTTGTTTTCCTCAGAATGCTTTTGAGTTTAATACATCCCAGTGTCTGTAGGTCTAGTTCACCCATTTTGCTATGTATGCAAGCTACCACTGTATGAATGGGCCAGAATTTACCTACTCATTGTAGAGCTTGTGTGGTTCAAGTGTAACTCTCGCTCTTGTGAATATTGCTGCTCTTATTCTCCTTCCAAACTCTTAAGTGCTCTTGCACAATCATTCTCTAGTGAGGGGAAATCTCTGAGTTGCACATCATAGCTAAGCTCAAATTTACTAAAAGAGCCGACGTATTTTACAAATTTTCCCACCCAGAAAATATGCATGTATATCTTATTTTTTGCACCTGCTTATTGCAGCCCTGGTGGCACAGTGGTTAAGAGCTCTTCCGGTAACCAACAGATCGGCAGTTTGAATCTACCAGCCGCTCCTTGGAAACTCTGTGTGGCAGTTCTCTGTCCTGTTGGATCACTATGAGTCGGAATCGACTCAACGGCAATGGTGTTTTAAATCTAATGAAGTAATCTTTGTTCTTATAATAAGTGTCTAAAAGGATATCTTACTTTATAGTTCAAGTACATTACACTACTTCATTACTGAAAAGCTCTGCATATTTCCCACTGTTAACTTATATTTCTGTGATTTTTTAGGGTGACACAGTGGTTAAGAGCTTAGCTGCCAACCAAAAGGTCAGCAGCTCGAATCCACCAACAACTCCTTGGAAACCCTATGGGGCATTTTTACTCTGTTGTATAGGGTTGCTATGAGTCGGAATCGACTCAGTGCGAGTGGGTTTGGTTTTGGGTTTTTTTTTTTTTAATGAAGTTTGGAAAATTTCCCCCTATTATGAAACTAATCTTCTAACTCATTTTTGCTGCACTTTGATGAATTGTGAATTTTAACATAGTTGAATTTGTCAGTGTTTTCCCTTATGTCTCAATCTTTTTATTTAAGATTTTTTTCTCTATTCTGATGTCATAAGATCACTTGCTTATAACTTCCAAAACTCTTATAATTTTACACTCTCATAATTAAAGTTGATTTTCCTGGAGGTGATTTTTGTATATGGGATACGTAGGAATAGACTATTTCAGTTAGTTAATTACTTGATAAAAAATACCAACATTTTCCTTCTACTTGATTCTGACTTATGGCGACCCCGTGTGTTTCAGAGTAGAACTGCATTCCATAGGATTTTCAGTGGCTCATTTATGGGAAGTAGACTGCCAGACCTTTCTTTCAACCTCCAGTCTTTTTCTTAGTATGTTAGCACTTAATTGTTTACACAACCCAGGGACTCCAATTACTTGATTCTTCTCCATATATTAAATTGTGAGTGCTTTCTCCCACTACCCTGCTGAGGTTGCTGTGTCAACTTTCCAAAGATCTTGATGGGTCTATTCTGGGATGTGTATTTGTTTTTGTTGATCTATTATGTATTCCTATAATGATACTATTCTTTTTAATATATTGTAGCTCCATTTGTAAAATAAGTGTATATGAATACAATGGCATGTATGATATAGGTGGGGAATCCCAGGCCTTGTTCTTTAGAATATCTTGGATATTTGTGGGTATTTAAAATTACATATATATTTTTAAAGAATTTTTGTGAATCACAAAAAAATAAAATTGGTTGGAATTTTGTGGAAGCGCATTGAAAATGATCTATTTGTGGAGAACAGTTGTCTAAGAGCATGCACTATCTTTTCGTTTATTTCAGTCTATTTGTGTGTCATTTAATCATGTTTTATATTTTTTTCATTAGGATCTCTTTTTAGCTATACTTCTTTTTGATACATTTTACTCTTACTAAAAATATATGAATCCTTTTAAAATTAATTTCTCAAGCGCTTGTTGCTAGTGTATATAAGTGAAATATTTAAAACAATCCTTACCTTGGTATTTGTTTTGTAATCTGAATACTCTTAGCAGTATAATCATCAGTACCGTTCTTGGGTGTTCTATGTATACAGTTATTTAACTTGAAAATATAGATTAGGGTGTGTTTTTTTTCCACATTCTTACTTCTTTACCTTTTTTCTTTTTCTTTTTTGCTATGTATTGGGTACAACCCCTACGATAACATTGAATAGGAATGAAATAATGGATGTCCTTGTTTTTTATCTACTTTTGCTAGAAAAGTGTTTATGTTCTTAGCACATATGTTCCTTAATGTAGTTTTTGTTTGTGCCCATTTTCATCATTTCTTATCTGATTATGGCCAGAACCCTCTACTGTGGCTCCCAGCTTTTACATTTGCCCCTAAACACAGGTTCTTTAAATTCTTTAAGAGCCGTCTTATCATTTTCTGTCTTTGATCAAAGGTATAAAATTGCTCTGCATTTTACTCAGATGATGTCTTGGATTAAATTATGTTCCCCCAAAAATGTGTTTATCAGTTTGGCTTGGCCATGATTCCCGGTATTGTGTGATTTTC